CCCCCCCCCCCCCAGCAGAAACTCCTACCAAAATCTCTTTTCTTTAAATGAGCTCAGCAGAGATGCAAGCAGGTGGTTCTCATCACCCCAGCAAAAAGATGTACGCTGTTATTTTCCTCCGGGAAGGATCAAAATGAGCTTTCCAGGCTTGCAAGGAGGAGCTGCCCTGAGGGTTGCCTGCAAGCTGGGAAAATCCCTTCGAGAAAAAGCCTCGGGGGGTCCCTGAGAATGGAGAGGGGTGAGAAATTCAGCATGCTGACAAAAATGACAGCTGTAAGGGGATTTTTTTCCAAGCTGTTTTTTGGCTTGGAGAAGCAGCACAGGGATATCCCTAAGGGCAGGTCCCTGCAAAGCCCAGCCCCAGCAAACTTGCCCTTTTGGGGCAAAGCCCAGAAAATCCATAAGCAGCTTCAAATAAGAAGCTACACTTGAATTTTCCCCTTTTTTTCCCATCACAGGAGTTGCCGTGGAGGGGAAATACAGAAGCTAAAGCAAACCACGCAGATAAGGAATATAGAAATATCTCGCCGAGATCAAAACTCGACATATTTAGCCCTCCCTTTCATGTTTGCAAAACACAACTCTGATTTTACACGGCTGTAAAACAAACCCAGATGAACATTTTATGGGAACATATTTCAGGCCACAAGCTGAGTGCCGGCTAATCAGCCAGCCCTGATTTTGGCGATGCCAAGAAGCCATCGCCCTACTTGCAGATGGGGCTTCCCAGCTTTCCAAAACTGTGGGGGAGCCTGGGGCTACGGCTCCATCATTATCCGTGGTCCAGCCGCTTGCCTCCTCCGCATGCCCTCATTTTTTCATCTTGACGGCTCCTTAACCCACTTAGCCCTGCTCTAGGCAGCTTTTTCCGGCCAAAGGGAAAGATTGAGCTTGTTATAAGGAAACAAGCCGTATTACAAGGGGTGATACTCCCCACAGGGACATGTAACACATTGGGAAGGATCCAGCTGACCTGCCACGCAGCGAGGAAGCAAGCAGCTTCCTTCGGGTAAATAAAAGGGCTTTTCAGTCCAAGGTGATGGATGGAAACACCCAAAACACTCCTGTGAAGGTGCAGATGCTTTCCAGGATGGGAAACGCTTCTGATAGATCCCCGGTGCTCTCCTCCATGCCGGCAGTGGGACTTTGCTGCTGCTCCTGGATGCGGCAACGATGGGGGCAGGAGCCCGCAGAGCTGGCACCATGCAGTATATAAGGTGACAATAAAAATAGGCAAGATTCCCCCCAAAATGGCTGTGGAGACATAGAGCAGAGGCCGAGGGCAAATGTACTTGTAGGGAAGAGCAGCGGGAATTTGGGCACATGCCCCCCTGCATCCTCCCAGATGATGTGGCCGGATCCTGCTTGATCCCTTGCAAGCAAAGCGCCGGGACAGCGAGGGGATGGACCTCTGCGGGCACGTCCTCCCTCACCGCCACCACGCCGGCAGCTCCAGCCAAGGATGCCGTCAGCCACGGAAAAGCCATCTGCCCACTGAATTTTGGGAGCAGCACTCGGCCTCCGCAGCCTTCTGCTGCCCAGACCAAAAGGAGGCATCAGGATGGGTGCACCCACCCCAAACAGGCTTTTTGCAGTGATTTTTAGCCATTTGCTGAAAAAGCAGAGCTCAAATTGGCTTTTTTGGGACAACATTTCTCTGCCAAGGGCTAGAAGATACTTAAAGCAGCTGATGCTCAGGATACAGGAAGGCAGCAAAGTCCCAGCGTGGTTTTAAGAGCCAAAATCCGTCTCATGGGTGTCCAAACCCAAGGGCTGCCCATCAGCCTGCCCACAAGACCCTGCCAGACACTGGGATCCTCCTCCGGCATCGCTTTACGATCCACAACCCCCTCCCCAGGGCCGCCAGCTTCCTCTAGAGCCCCCACAGAAAAACTTTTATCCTTTTTTTTTTTTTTCCCCAAAAAAATACACATTTCAAACACAGATTTACCCATAACAACTTGCCTGCTCCCACAAATCAGCAGCAGAAGAGCAATCGCCCGATTTGCCGCCATAAAAAATAAGAGGAAGGAAGGAAAAATGATCCACATGCTGGTGACAGACAGCTTGTCTCTGGGGAAAAAGTGGGGGGACATGTTCCTTGAAAATTATCTACCCATGACCTTAAAACCATGGTGGAGGTGGAGAGGAGACCCAGGTGGGAAGCAGGACTGGCTTTAGCACAAGTTTCCCCCCACCCTGAGCCACACAGGGTTTATTATCAACCGTGTGTTCGGCAGTACAGTGCCGGTGGGATGCTCGGGATGCACGGAGCAAACCGGGGAAGGGGGAAAAGAGCAGCAACCGCGGCCCGAGAGCAAATAAAACCCATCGGGAGATGGCAAAGAGGGATGCAGGAGAGGCATGGTGCCTTCCCAACGCCGGTTCAGCCAAATCCAAGCCGGGCTCTGGCTAGCCTCAGTGGTCATCCCCGAGGGATGATTTTGGAGCTGCTCGTGATGCCGGGGAAGAATCGACTCCTTTGTGTCAACCTCTCCCCGCTCAACCCCGCAGAGCGCGGCCGCCGCTCCCCCTCCCTGCGCCCTGCAGCAGCTGACGGCGGCTTTCCGGAGAGGAAAAAGTACATTATAAATTTAAAAAAAAAAAAAAAAAAAAAAAAAAAAAA